GACAAGTTCAAAACTGGGTTTTTTGTAAGAGAAAAACTGATTTTTCAACCAAGTGTGCAGGTGCAATTTCTCATGTAATTGACCAATCAAACCCATTGGATTTAATCTCTTATGAGATTAAAATCCAACAGATGTTGGCACTGGCAACGACCAAGCAGCCCTTGGGGTTAGTCATCATCCTCTTCTTTTCATCTTTGATCCTCTTATCTTGGGGAATAAGCTCCCTTAGGCTTCTTCTCTACATAGACTTACCCTTCCCCTACCATGTAGAGAAGGAGTTCACATCTCCCGATGATGACATGGTCCTGAAAGATGTTCTCAATACACGACGGATATGTACTGTGGGGCAGAAATGTGAACTCATAGAGAAGATACCTATTTGACCTTATTAAGGGACTCTGGCTACATCAGCCAAGGATGGAACCTGGGTTTTTATCAAGATGAACTCTTTCTTTTATCACATAGAGCCATGCCAAATGAAAGTCTCATGCACAATTTTAAATGGGATCTAGATGTAGTAGGTACATTAAGTAAGCACAATGAATGAGCACATAATAGTTGTATGACACATGTCCCGGTTAATACACCTTTTATCCACATGTTTTTGTTATGTTAGAAATTATCCACTAATTTGTTATTTTTGTCAAAATAATTAAAAATAAAAACAATAGGAAAGGAAAAGGTAAATGAGAAAAAGAAGTGAGGAATATCGAATCTTCTTTTGGACCGACTCTCCTACTCCTTTCTGTTGCTTTTGAAATTAATTGGTTCAGATTCAGTCACTCGGATTTTCGATATTCCTTTTTATTTCTCATCAAAGACCCAGTTCAGACAAGGGTGTTCTTCAAAACTTTGAGGAGCCATGCCCCAGGCTCCGCCCATGACATTAGACTCAGACCAACCATTTCCTACAGTTTTCCCAACTGATAATAAATATATTGATAGTTCACCCATCACAACTAGACGGTACTGTACACACTGAGGCAGGCTGTGTCCTGTGTCCCTCTTTCTTTCTTTCTTTTCTTTTCTTGTTCAAATATTTTGTTTCATGGAAGCTTGCTGAGCACTACGAGCAAGTGATCCGAACAGATGTTAGCGAAGCCCAATTGAAGCTTTCCATGCCACACCCTAGGGTCCGCTATCTTCACACTCCACTCTCCATTTCCGACGACGAGCTAATCTCTTCGTTGGGCGAAGAAAATTCAGTAGACCTGATCACTGTGGCTCAAGCTGTGCACTGGTTTGACCTCCCAAATTTCTACTCGCTTGTGACTCGGCTTTTGAAGAAACCAGGAGGGATAGTAGCTGTCTGGGGCTACAATGAGTTTGCTGTTAGCCCCATCTTTGATCCAGTCCTGAAGCGCTTCCGTGACACCACAATGCAATTCTGGGATCCACACATTGGCTATGTGTTCGATGATTACAGCACTCTTCCCTCTCCCTTTGAAAGTATAGGCCTTGGAACGGAGGGGAAGCCATTGATGCTAGACATGCAGAAGGAGACCTCATTTGAAGGGTTTCTGGGGTTGCTTCGGTCATGGTCTGCAGTCACTACAGCCAAGGAACGGGGCATTGATTTGCTATCTCAAGGTGTGGTTAAAGAGCTTGAGAGTTCTTGGGGTGGGCCTAAGCTCATCCGAACAGTCATCTACAAGTCTTTCATGCTTGCAGGCAAAGTTAGGCTGTGACCTGTAAAAGTGTAAACTGTGATGTGAATCCAATTAATTAAGCGTTACAATATCATACTGTGATTGTAATTGATCATGCTTGGATGCTTGCTTGTGTTGAATTGAGTTGCTTATTAATTTTCTACCTTGGTCTCTTCTACAAGCGATGAATTCTCAATTCCAGCTGCCTCCGGTGTCTAAATATTGAGGCTCTCTCTCTTGTGAATTGTGATGCCACAGTTACAGGCTTTCTCTTGTAACCATCAATTGGGGACGGGAACCGATCCATTGATATAAATCCTGGAACTAGAACCTACGGGTGGATCCATCGGTATAACCATTGGTGGGACAAAATTTCTGATTGTAGGTGGTCTTCTAAAGTTTTAGTGATAATTTTGTTAATTCTCAGGCTTTAATAGTAATAGCAAGCTAGGTGTTGACATTACCATCCCGTAATAGTAATAGTAAAGCGTTAAATGGTCTTGTATTCGCCTCCACTGATTTTCCCGATGAACTTAGCTGATTTGTGGGTACTTGTGTACCTCATCACCAAATTTTGAAAAACCATAAACTAGAATTGAACTGAAACCAATTGATTAACCACTTGATCAATTTAGTTTTTGACTAGTTCAATTTTTTGATGTTTATAATATATATTATAAAATAAATATATAAATATTAGAAATACATATAATATATTATATTACAAATAATGAATAATATATTATATATAATAAGTATATATAAAATATATTAAAAATCCTAGTCTACTAGCAGCCCCAATAAACCACATCTGACCAATTCACAGTCAGGATTCATCCCACCTGTACGGTGGGGTTAAGATTTGTTGGAGTGGATTCAACAATAAAAATTCTTTAATATACATGTAAATATTTATTTATTTATGTATATTATATAGTTTTCATATATATATATATATATATTAATTGCCAATTTTTCATATTGATTGACTAAAACCAAATTGATACCTTCGTTTTTTCATATTGATCAACGGTTCGGTTATCTGTAATTTTCGATTCGATTCGGTTTGTTTTTGATGAACTCCCCTACTGCAACCGTTATAATCGGTTCGGGTCTATAGGTTAGACCCGACCAATTGACAGCCCTAGTAACGTGAGTAGCAACGTTGCCTTACCCTTGTCGTTCTTGCAGAGTGAGTTCTAACTGAAAATTAAACGAAGAAGAGAGAGAGAGAGAGGAAAACCAGGAAGGTTGAAGTACAACTATAGGTTTTGCCATGGCTCAGAATAGCAGGAAGAAGCCTAATATTCTAGTGACCGGAACCCCGGGGACGGGTAAAACGACCACATCATCTCTGCTGGCCGACGCGACGCAGCTCCGCCGTATCAACGTGGGCGAACTAGTGAAGGAGAAGAACTTGCATCAAGGATGGGACGACGAATTCGATTGTCATGTCATTGACGAAGACCTGGTACGATTCAAAATCTTAACCCTAGATTCCGTTCTGTCTCATATAGTTCTATTAAATTATGCTTCACGCCTGACCTCAAAAGACGGGAAACCATCGAGAACCTCATCTCATGATAACTTTTTACTGTTTTACTGATATGACTGGATTTTTAGAGAAGTTGGTTTATCCTTAATGGGTTTTTTCTTATGTGATCTCTTGGCTGTTTATTTGCTACTTATAAGCTTAGTCAGAAGATGGTTTTCTCCCCCAAACTCGCTGGAGATCTTTTTTTGACTCCTACTCAGAAGATGGTTGCTTGATGATTCTGTTATATTTTAAGAGGGTCTTTCCTCGGAGCCAGTGGGAAATGATTTGAGGGTTTACAGCTTAGTAATGGATATGGACTCTGATAAAATGGAATGGTGAAATTGGGTTCATGTACTTGACCCGATGTAGTTAAGGTAAGGCTTTTTGGAGTTCAATTGAGTTTCAGCGGGTCCTTGACTCCTTGGAATCGGCCTGCTGTTTTGGGAGGTCGGAAATTAGTGCTTATGTTGTGTTATACTAATTGGTCAGGCCATTATATTTGTTGGGTGTGCAAGTGATAATAGAAACCTCCAAACTTAAGGAATGGGAGAAGAACAAGACTGTAGTTCCATTTTCTGACAGAAGTGGGAGAAAATTTATGGAAGCCTCTTTTTGCTTGAGAACTTAAATCAAGCAGGCAACTCAATAAGGTTCTTAAAGGGAAGCTGATATTGAGGAATTTGGAATTATGCAGCCCATCCAATATATGAAGGATAATGGTCTTAAAAATGTGAGATCAAAGCCTTACAAACTTACAGTCGTGTTATAATCCTTGCATTTCCTAAGATACTTCTTTCTCTAAACCAACAAGTTTGCATGCTGTGGTGATGCAGGGAATTCTGATCAGATTTAACCTTAACATAAGTGAGCTACCCTGAGGTCAGGCAAGATTGGTTTAGGTTTTTTCTTGCCATCAAGTTGGAGTAGGCTTGAAAATAATCAACTTATTAGTCTTCACATAAATATGACTGGGTTAAAATTGAATCAATGGACAACCTGACACAACCAGAAAACAGCTATTTGTGTTTTCATGTCTTTTGTATATTGAGAAGTATGAATGAAAGAAAGAGTTGTGCCTAATGGTTTAAGTCCTATAATGAATGAAGGAAGATGAAAGGATTTCCAGTAAGGTGCAAATTTGAATCTAATAGATCTTTATGGAAACCATTACGTCTGCTCAACTTACATATGTCTTGCATGTAATTTGTATTAATATTGAGATATGTTGCTTTCTGGAATTCACAAAGTATGATAAAGAAGAAGAGGCATTATATATGTGTGTGTGTGTGCATATGTCGGTGGGCTGGGTATGGGCACAACTTGGGTCAGGTTGGGTTGTGCACTTGTAAAATTTTGAATGGGCCTGAGTCCAAACCCAAGCCTGATGTAGTTGAAGCTCTTGAACTTGGGCAACCCAACTTGCACCCCCAGTTTTTTTGAGATAGAATGAGTTCCGGCATTTCTATCCTGTTGTAGTTATTGGGCCGGACAGTCTTTCTGTTACAGTCCCTGTTGTTGCATATTCTCATTTCACCTAAAGTGTCTCCATTATTTTGAAGAAAGAAGCACAACTATTAACTTGGAATTAGAGGTAAATAGGTAGTAGACAGACTTTGCAAAAAAAAAAAAAAGTGATTAAATGAACATTTTTGGAATTCTTATTTGCAAGAATTCTTCCAAACATATTGACACATTCAGAACCCTTTTCAGATATTTTACCCACAAAAATTAGTGGATTTGATGGCTACAAGTTCCTTTTTCAACAGAAGGATTGAGATAGGAATTATAACATTCAGTTATACACATTATTGGATCAGATATATAATTCAAGAATCAACATTTTATATGCTGTTAAGCTATTTGAGCTTGTATTAATATGATGATGCAAAACATACTACAAAATCTATTGATAAAAAAAAAAACATACAACAGAATCTGTCAATCTACTTTTGAGATATATCTAGGCGATTTGCTGATAAAAAAAAACGATATATCTAGGCGATTCTAGGCGACAGTGTGGTGCCTAGTCACCTAGGCAATAAGAATTTCATAAAATAAAAATCTAAATTTTGGTTGTTTCCCTAGTTTTATATAACATTCATCATGCATATTAATTGAAAAACAGCACATTTCTTTATTAAAAACATTACATTTCCACTCAAAACATGGAAAATCTTCATATCTAAGAAAACAGTATTTTAAATACACCAAATTCAATATTTTCAAGAATAATACTAATATAATATTTAATAGAGCAATTTCATATTAATTTAGCAATTAAAGCAGGCACCTTATTGCCTAGGTGACACTTTGACAACTATGGTTCGGCAACATTCACTGTCTAAAATTATAGCAATATAGTATGGAATTTAAGTTGTTCTAAGTGTTATGAAGTCAGCATGGGTATCACCTGAAGGCTTTAGCTTGTTTAGTTGTTTACATGCAGGTTTGTATCCCGTTTTTCTATTTAGCTGTTGCCTTTACATCCATCTGAAAATTTCAGCCCTGTACCAAAAAACAAAATGGAATATTTGTCTGAGAAATTTCCATCAGATGGTTGGGGATTTGGTTGATGATGCTTCAATGTATACTTGAAGAAAATTTCTATGCTTAGATGGTTAGGTTTTGGATTGATACTTAAAGAGATGCTCAATGAAACTTTATTGTGGTTTAGTTTGTGTTAAGGTTCTTATTCATCTCAAGGAGTGGTTAAGTGAAATTGAGGGAAAAAGTCAAAAGAAACACTTTTGACATGAAGTTGGTACATTGTATGGAAGGCATTTTCATGTAGAACTTCATCTCAGAAGTCAGAAGGCTTATAGTCCAACAAGGCAATCAACATATAAGAATTATTATTTAAACCTGGTTTTAGGACTTGGATTATCATCTCTAGTTGTAGAAGGCAATTATCAAGTAGTGATTCAGTGGCTTTTGGGCACAGCTGTTTGCCTCAGATTTTTAGACATCACATTAAAGAAACAGAGTTGTTGGCTTCTAAGATAAAAAAGTCATTGAGGTGGATATCCAGATCATCCAATGAGCTGATTTACTCTCTTACTAGGGCTGGGTTTGGGAGATCTGATCTTGTATGAGGTGCTTCAAGCCAGGTAGGGCCTAGTTATGAAGATGTTTGTATCTTTTGTGTATCGATCTCCTTCAACTCAGGCCTTTAGCCTTTGGAGGTTCATATTTTCTTTGTCATTGATAAATTATCTTTGGTCATCACTCATCACCGTTGATTCTAAAAGCTAATATCTCTAGATGGAAATTGGTTGACATGCATAGTACAACTTGATGTACCATTGTCCATACTTCAAAAATGATTCTTCATCATATTCTGTAATATTCAGTTTCAAACCAACTTGTTTGGGGTCTTCTTTTAGTTTCATCTAAGAGGTTCCCCCAAATTTGATTTCAATGAAGATTGTCCAGGTTTCTTCTTTCTTTAATTACTATTGACAATGATCAATTAAGTAGAATATGTTATAATTTGTATCTGATCTTTGCTTTTGCTTAGCATTTGCAAAAATCAGTATAAATTTCCATCAATCACTTATATGGCCAATGTTTTGGATCTTGGTGTATCCAAAAGTTACTCTTTCACCACATGAGATTGCTTCACTGTTGTATCAAACTATGAAGTCTTAATTTATTATTATTATTATTATTATTATTTGTAGTTGTTCAAGACTGCTATCAGTCTTGAACACTAAGAAATTTCAGGTTCGAAAAGAAGAGAAAGTGTAGAGGAAAGAGGAGAAAGAGAAGAGAGAGAGCAGTAGAACACAAACTTTGAAAGGAAGGACAGAATCTGAATAATTCTGCCGCCGCTACTTCTATTTAATATTTATAGGTTATGCTAGTTACATGAAAGG